AAAAAAACGCAACCCTCTCTCCCTCCCCACCCTAATTCCTCCCTCTGACAGACTGCCAGTCCTCTTGTCTCATTATTCCTATCTCTCTCTCCTCTTCCTCCCATCCAGCAATCTCCATTCTTTGCAATTCAAGATTTTCACAGAAATCTTTTAAGTCTTCCGGAAATCTCAAATAAGCTGTAACTCCATCATTCCATCCAATTAGGCACACTGGGGTCCCCCATCTATAAAACACATTCTTTTTCCTCATCTGTTCTAAAAGGGGTTTCAGGGATCTCTTTCTCCACAAAGTCTCTGGTGCAAGATTTGCATACATCTGGATATCCATTTCGCCATATTTAATTGATGCTTTTACTTTGATCTTTCTCCAGATTGCTTCTTTATCTCCATATTTGTTAAATTTAACAATTATATCCCTTGGTTTTTCCTTCCCAGTGCCTTGTTGGTGCTTTCCTATTCTCACAATATCTTCCAAGTCAATCGCCTCTAGGGCAGGTCTGTCTGTTATGGAGTTTCAGATTTTACCTACTAATTCTTGCAATGTTTCCCCTTTTACATTCTCTGGGACTCCTTTTATCCTAAGGTTATTCCTCCTGTCCCAATTTTCTTGTACCTCCATCTTATATATCAGTTTCTTTCTGCATTTTCCCCATATTCTCTATTTTCTTTTCTAATTCTGCGATGTTTTGGGCCTGATTTTTTAATTTAATTTTCTCCTCCGTTTCTTCCACTCTGATCAACACCTGCCCCAGGTAATTTCGAATAGTTGTCATTTCTTGCTTTGTCTTCTCTAAATCTTTAAACATCTCTGCCATTTCTTTTTTATTTGGTACTTGTAGTTCTCTTTCACTCACTCTCATCTCCATGGCTCCTATTGTTTGTTGACTACTAACATTTAGACCCAACGATTGTCTAGGGCTGTTATCCAGACTGATATTCCCTTCTCCTTTTTCGTTTTTACCTTGAGATCTTTCTGGGGTCACTTTTTCCCTGAGATGTATATTGTTTAATTGTTCCCGTTTGGGACCCTTTAGGCCCACTTCCTTTACTACTTTTGTTCTTCATTGCTTTTATGGGCCTTATTCTCCTCTATATTCTCTTTGTATAAATAAATGATTCACAAAAATTATACTGGCCTCAATTTTAGCCCAGTTAGTGACCGATTGTCCTCCTCTTTTAAGTTGCTTAATCTTCTTTTCTTCCTCTTTTTCCTCCTCTTCTTCTATTTCAAAAGCCCCTGGGAATCCCCCTTCTCTCCCCCTCACCCCCCAATCTCCTTAACAGCACAATGGGACATTTAAGATATAAAAGTTCCAGTCACTCTCACCCGTGTTCCTCGTCCCTTGCTGCCAGACCGCAGGGGGCTTCAGGTGTCCAGCTCCTCTGTACAGTTTTTTCCTTTGGGGGGGGGGGGGGATTCCACAGGGCTGCCTTTCCTGCTTCTTCTGCCTCAATAGGGGTCTTCCCCAAAGAGCCTGCGTCCACGTCTTCCCAATACTCAGCTTAGCCAGGCGCAGACAAGGGAGCAAACAGCCAGGAGCAGAAAGCCGCCTGCCCTCCTCATACACGCCGGACGGCTTCCTCCGCTCCCAGTACTCCTTTGCGGCTGGGCATGTGACCGCACCGCTCTCCCGTCTCCCGGCAACCCGGCTCTCCAATCCGCCGGACTCCAGGCGGGCCGCTCTCACCACTTCACAACTTTCGGTCTCCTCTCCCTCGCCAGCTCCCCTGGCTCTCTAGTAAGTACTTCCGCGGCTCTTATTTTATTAGAGGGCCCCCTGGGGAGGTTAGTGGAGGAGCTTAGCTGCGAGCTCCTACATCGAGCCCTCCAGCACCGCCATGTTCAGGCTCCTCCCCCATACCATCTATGAGTTAAACTGAAAAACAAAATATTTAATGTTTGTGACACTTAAATAGAATTTGCATAATAATTTGGAACAGGGTGTACACTTATTGGGATTTTTTTTTTACCAAAAACATGTAGCAGAATACATTTTGGCCTAACTTTGAGTTTACTATATATTTTTTATAGCTGAAAGTAAAAAATATCATTTTTCTTCAATATTATCAGATGAATTAGTGCAGCGCCGAGTAGCAAAAAGAGGCCCAGTCAGGAAGGGAGGTAAATCCTCAGGAGGGCAAGTGGTTAAAGAAACCTGAAGGCACCCTGGTTGAAAAAGGTTGCACTAAGCTAGATTCTCTGACTATTGAAGCGACCATTATAGTACATGGGTTTTGATATAATTAGTTGGTTTGTGTGATACACAAGATACAATGTCTGGTAGATAATCAGTACAGACAGTGAAAGTCTCACATGTGCTATTGCCATACTCAGAATTACAACCCAAAACACATTCTGCTACTCCTGAGTATGCCCATGCTGTATGTGAGAAGTATCTTATTAAATTGACAACTTTGTGTATAAAAAAAAATGTAATTTAATTCCATGGTTTCTAGAACTTGTGGCACAAAACAGTCATCAAAAGACTGCCCATGCCATTTATGTTGTCATTTTAGTGAGTGTTTCCTGGGCCTCAAAAATATGGTAAATAGATGCATAATTTACACGTAATTTATGCTCCTTGCAAGCCTAGAGGTTCTCCTGGGATCTTGGGTCCTCTATTCATTTACGCTGTGAAAGTCTCATTCATATGGTATCCCCATACTTTGGAGGAAGAGCAGAATGTCTTTTGGGTGTAATTATAAGAATGCTGTGTGTGTGAGACATAACTGGTTAAAATGACATCTTTGTGGAGAAAAAAAAAAATAATTGTGCTTAATTTCTTTTTTTTTTTCCCAAAAATTGTGAAACCATTACAACTTTTAAATACTTGCCATGCCTCTTAATACATATTTTAGAGTCTGCTTTCCAAAATTGGGTCTTTTGAGGGGGGGGGGGTATTTTGTGCTGCCCTAGCATTTTAGGGCCTCAAGAAATGAGATAGGTAGTCCTGTACATTAAGACTGATCACATTTCAAATATACAGCGGGTAACATAAGTATTGAACACAGCACCATTTGTCTAGGTAAATATATTTCTAAAGGTGCTATTGACAAGACATTTTCACCATATGTCAGTAACAACCCATGAATCCTTCCACACATAAAGAAACCAAAACAAGTAAGTTCAGAAATTAAGTTATGTGTAATAAAATGGAGTGACACAGGGAAAAAGTATTGAACACAAGAAGAAAGGGAGGCGCAAAAAGGCATAAAAAGCCAAGACACCAGCTGAAATCTATCAGGAATTATAAAGGAATCCTGCTCCTTCTCAGTGCAAATTAATTTCAGTTGGTTCAGTCTCAACTGATGGCCTATAAAAAGGTGTCTCATTATCATGGTGTCACACAAAACACATCTCATGATAGGTAAAGACAAAGAGCTCTTGCAACCTTATTGTTGCAAAACATACTGTTGGCATTGGTTACAGAAGGATCTCTAAACATCTTAAGGTTCCAGTGAGCACTGTTGGGGCCAAATTCCGGAAGTGGAAAGAACATCATTTCACCATAAACCGGTCACGACCAGGTGCTCCTCACAAGATTTCTGACAGAGGAGTGAAAATAATTATTGGAAAAGTTGGAAAAGAGCCAAGGACTGCTTGTGGAGAGCTTCAGAAAGACCTGGAATTAGCAGGTACAATTTGTTCAAAGAAGACCATAAGTAATGCACTCAACCACCACCACCATGGCCTTTATGCATGCTCACCATGCAAGACTCCATTGCTAAAGAAAAAGCATGTTGAAGCTCTTAAAGTTTGCTGCACAACCTTTAGACAAGCCTGTTAAGTACTGGTAGAATATAGTCTGGTCAGATGAGACCAAAATTGAACTCTTTGGATGCCGTAATACACCGTGTTTGGAGGTCAAATGGCACTGCACATCACCCCAAAAACACCATATCACCAGTGAAGTTTTGGAGGTGAGAACATCATGATGTGGGGCTGTTTTTTCAGCATACAGTACTGGAAAACTTCATGTTATTGAAGGAAGGATGGATGTAAAAATGTACCAAGACATTATTTGATATAAATCTGCCATCTACCAGGATGAGGAAGGTGAAACGAGGATAGACATTTTAGCAAGACAATGATCCCAAACATAAAGCCAAGGAAACTCTCAATTGGTTTTAAAGAGAAAATAAAGCTGCTAGAATGGCCTAGCCAATCACTTGGCTTGAATTCAATAGAAAAGCTATGGAAAGAACTAAAGATCAGAGTTCATAGAAGAGGCCCAAGGAACCTTCAACATTTTAAGGCTGTTGTGGAATGGGCCAAAATCACACCTCAGCAATGCACGTGGCTAGTTTCTCCAAACAGGAAGCTGTCATTACCAACAAATAATAAAGTATTAAATACTTTTCAGTTAGGGTGTTCAATAATTTGTCTCTCATTCCATTTTATTACACATTACTTAATCAATTGCACTGAGGATTTACCCTCCTTAACCACTTGCCTACCAGGCACTTATACCCCCTTATTTACCAGGCCAATTTTCAGCTTTCAGCGCTGCCGCACTTTGACAATTGCGCGGTCATGCAACATTGTACCCATATGAAATTTTGATCATTTTTTTCTCACAAATAGAGCTTTCTTTTGGTGGTATTTAATCGCCACTGGGCACTTTACTTTTTGCGCTATAAATAAAAAAAAGTGCAAAAAATTTGGAAAAAAAAAAAAGTTTCTTTGTTTCTATTATAAAATTTTTCAAACAGGCATTTTTTCTCCTTCACTGATGTGCGTTGATGAGGCAGCACTGATGGGCACTGATAGGCGGCACTGATGGGCACTGATAGGCAGCACTAATGAGGTGTCACGGATAGGCGGCACTAATATGCAGCACTGATAGGCGGCACTGATAGGTGACACTGATGATGGGTACTGATAGACGGCACTGACTGGCATCACTGCTGGGCACTGACTGGCGGCACTGACTGGCACAACCGCTGGGCACTGACTGGCGGCACTGACTGGCAGCACTGCTGGGCTGCACTGGTGGGTGGCACTGGTGGGCAGCACTGGTGGGTGGGCACAGGTGGGTGGCACTGGTGGGCACAGGTGGGTGGGCACAGGTGGGTGGCACTGCTGGGCACAGGTAGGTGGCACTGCAGAGTGGCACAGGTGGGTGCACCGCTGGGCACAGGTGGGTGATCTGCTGGGCACAGGTGGGCGGAGCTAGTGGGCGCACAGCTGGCCACAGGTGGGCGGAACTTGCAGGTGGCACTGCTGGGCACCGATCATCAGGGCACTGATCATCAGTGCCCTGATGATCGGTGCCGATCCCCGCTCTGACAACTGCCGGTTCTCGGCAGTACTTTCCTCACGATCTGACAGCGTGAGGAAAGTGCAGCCGAGAACCGGCACTTGCATTTCCCTGTGATCAGCGTGTCATTGGACACCGCTGATCACGTGGTAAAAGGCCGCTGTGATTGGCCTTTTACCACATCACGTGATCAGCTGTGTCCGTAGGACACAGCGATCACGGAGATCGCCGGGTGTGCGCGCCCCCTGGGGCGCGCAGGAGAGCACGTTCTGGGAGGACGTCATATGATGTCCACTCAGAACTGAACGACCGCAGTGCAGCCGTCATTCGTCTATCTGCGGTCGGCAGGTAGTTAATGACCAGGCCTCTTTTTGCTACTCGGCGCTGCACTAATTCAACTGATAATTGCGCGGGTCATGCAATGTTGCACCCAAAAAAAATTTATGTCCTTTTTTTCACACAAATAGAGCTTTCTTTCGGTGATATTTGATCACGTGCGCTTTTTATTTTTCACGCTATAAACAAAAAAAGACCGCACATTTTGAAGAAAAACAATATTTTTTACTTTCAGCTATAAATATATAGTAAACTCCAAAGTTAGTTATTCATTTAGGTCAAAATGTATTTTGCTACATTTTTGGTAAAAATCCCAATAAGTGTATATTAATTGCCTTGTGTGAAAGTTATAACGTCTACAAACTGTGGTATAGATACTGCAAATTACGCCAAATTTTTTGCTATACCGCACTGCGCTAGTTTAACGGACAATTGCACGATCATGCAATACGGTACATAAATGAAATTTATGTCCTTTTTTTCACACAAATAGAGCTTTCTTTTGGTGGTATTTGATCACCTGTGCACTTTTTTTTTTTTTTTTTTTTTTTTTTGGCGCTATAAAAAAAAATGTTTGAAGGAAAAACATTTTTTTTTTAAAGAAATTATATTTTCAGTCATAAAAAATATCCAAAAAAACCCTAAAATTTCATCATAAATACTGGCCAAAATGTATTCTGCTACATGTTTTTGGTTAAATAAGTCCCAGTAAGTGTATATTTATTGCTTTGTGTGAAAGTTATAGCGTCTACAAACTATGGTATAGATAATGGTATTTACACAGCTTTTACTTTCTGACTGCTCATCACATTTATTGAGGTGCTAAAATACCAGGATAGTACAAACACCCTCAAATGACCCCTTTTTGGTAAGTAGATGCCCTAAGCTATCTGCTGAGGCATATTGAGTACATGTAAGGTTTATTTTTTTCCCCACAAGTTTCTGGAAAATGACAAACTTTTTTTTTTTTTTTTTTTTACACAAAGTTGTCATTTAAATGATTTATTTCTCGCACAAGCCATGGGTATATGTGGAATTACAGCCCAAAATACATTCTGCTACTTCTACCGAGTATGGGGATACCACATGTGTGACTTTTTGGGAGCCTAGCCACATACACTACAGGAGCCTGAAATCCAATGACCACTTTGTGATAGGTACTGAGGAAGTTAAATGAGGAAGTTACGCACCTTCAGTCTTTCAGTTTCGAAGGCCCTGACATGCCAGGATAGCACCAACCCCCCCCCCCCCCAAATAACCCCTTTCTGGAAAGTAGACACCCCAAGGAATTTAAAAAGAGGCATGGTGAGTGTTTTGCAGATCTAATTTTTTCTCACAAGGTTTTGAAATCTAAAAAAAGAATAGAAAAAATGTTTTTCTTTTCTTCATTTTCCAAAATCTTGTGGCAACAAATGAGATCTGCAAAATACTTACCATGCTTCTTATCAAATTCCTTGGAGTGTCTGCTTTCCAAAAAGGGGTCATTTGGTGAGTTAGGTGCCATCCTGGCATTTCAGGGCCTCCAAAACTGTGATAGGTAGTCTGGAAGTGTAATGAAGAAATAAAGCCCTTTAAAAGCCTGAAGGTGCTTATTGGATTTTGGGGTCCTGTACTTGGCTAGACTGCCAAAACGTAGCTCACATGTGGTACCCCCATACTCGGGAGAAGTAGCAGAATGTATTTTGGGGAGTAATTCCACATCTACACATGGCATGTGTGAGCAGTAAATCATTTATGTGACAATTTTGTGTTAAAAAAAAAATTGTCATTTTCCAAAAACTTGTGGTAAAAAAATAAATTCTTCTATTGATTCAACATGCCTCTCGGCAAATAGTTTGGGGTGTCTACTTTCCAAAAAGGGGTAATTTTTGGGGGTGGGGGCGTTTTATGCCCAGCATTAGAAGTTTATGCCACACATCACTCACTCTTCTAACCACCTGAAGATCAAGCCTTTTCTGACACTTTTTGTTAACATGAAAAAAATCTGTATTTTTTTTCTAGGAAATTAATTTAAACCCCCCAAACATATATTTTTTAAAAGCAGACACCCTAGTGAGTAAAATGTTGGGTAATACAATTTTCATGGCACATACTACTCGTGTAGCGATTTTTTTTTTTTTTTTTTTTTTACTTTTAATGCACAAAATTACAATTAGAGATGAGCGAATCGAACATGGCGAAGTGGAATTCGTTTCGAAGATTAGGAAAAATTCGATTCGCGCCGAATCCGAAAATTAGCAAACTTCGGATGCACGAATCAAATTTCCCCAAAAATGGCGGCGACATGTGTGGCGACGGAGTGGGGATCTCTGGGAAGGCGCGCAGACAAGGCGCGCTGACCCATAATGCATTCATTCATGACATGTGATCGCATTAGCCAATCAGCAGCCAGCCAGCCAGCCAGCACTGTGTAATGGTGGAGCTATAAATCGCGGCCATCTTAGAATTCTCCATTAGCCTCCGGTCATTCAAGAGAGACAGACCTGTCTGTATTAGGGACAGAGTTAGGGCCACAGAGACTTTAGGGCCACAGAGACTTTAGGGCCACAGAGACTTTAGGGCCACAGAATCGTTACTCAGGGCCACAGAATCGTTACTCAGGGCCACAGAATCGTTACTCAGGGCCACAGAATCGTTACTCAGGGCCACAGAATCGTTACTCAGGGCCACAGAATCGTTACTGAGGGACACAGAATCGTTACTCGGGGACACAGAATCGTTACTTTCTGCTTCACAACCAGTATTGAATTAAAGAGTATGTCAGACAACACGCAGAGGAGTGGCAGAGGAGGCAATGTTTCAGGAGCGAGCAGACGTGGCAGCAGAGGAAGGGGTCGAGGCAGCACTAGTCGCAGCCAGAGGCCAGTGCTCCCGGTGTCATCCAGCGGTCGTGTCTCCACCGACAACCCTGCCGTCATCGATTGGTTGACTCGGTCGTCTTCCTCTTCCCAGGTCACCTCTGACACCTACAGCCAACGGTCGGTGGGTACGTCAGACACAACCGTTAGTTGGCATGGCCCGGGAGCAAGCCCACTGAAATCACGTGTCCTCGACCTGCCCCTGTCCTTTGGTGTTCCCTCACCAAGCGAAGTATCGCATGCTGTGGGCTCAGCCCCACTGTACAGTGAGGAAGAGCTAACAGAGGGCGGTCAGGAACGGGGGGAGACATCCGCCTCTTCAGCAGCCAGGCGAAGAAGTAGTGGCGAGGAGAGTGGCTCGGTAGCCGGTCTAGAGACAGGTCTGTCTCCTGACCCACACGCAGCCGAGGGGGCTAGTAGTGAGGCGGAGACCCTAATTGATGATGATGAGGCTGATCGCACTTGGCAGCCTCGTCGTCATCAGTCTATTGCTTCCGCATCAGCAGGAGAAGAGGGTGCCAGCTTGCCAGCGAGCAAAACAGTCGGTGGGTTGCCCAGGAGGCAGCAGGGTCGCAGCAGTGTCAGTGGAGGCAAACGGCCACGGAGTAGAGCACCAGCTCCACTGCAGCCTACCACCACGGCCAGTAGTGGTGCCGGTGTGCACGGAGGAAGTAGCAGTCAGCCAGTGAGGAGTAGCGGGGGCAAAGTTTCCTACTCGGCGGTGTGGCAATTTTTCGTCAAGCCGCCCGAGGAAGTAAACGTAGCCGTATGTCGACTATGTGGCCAGAAAGTCAAGCGTGGCCAGGGGGCCCATGTTGGGACTACAGCATTGCGTCAGCATATGCAGCGTTGCCATTCGGTGGCCTGGGAAAACCGTGATAAAGATACGGCGGTTCTGCCTGCCCCAGCCCCCGCTCCATCACCCTCTCCGTTACTTGCTCCGTCACCCGACGTCAATCGCCCTCTATCAGCCAGTCAAGGCTCCAACACCTCTGCTGAGGGGAGTTGTCGCTCGTTGGCATCTTCCGCTCGTTCAGATGCTCCTTCTCCTGCTACTCCTCTTCACGGATTCCGTCAGCAGTCTTTCTTGGAATCCGTTTCCAAGAGACAACAGTTTGCGAGCACGCACCCGACGGTGCAGAAGCTGAACGTCCTCCTGTCCAAGTTGCTGGTGCTGCAGTCCCTCCCTTTCCAAGTGGTGGACTCAGCACCTTTCCGAGAAATGATGGCTTGTGCCGAGCCGCGGTGGAGAGTGCCAAGCCGGCATTTCTTCGCCAAAAAGGCAGTGCCAGCCCTGCATTCACATGTAGAAGAGATGGTGGGCCAGTCTTTGAGCATGTCGGTCTCTGCCAAAGTGCACGGCAGCGCCGACGTGTGGAGCTGTAACTACGGTCAGGGACAGTACATGTCATTTACGGCCCACTGGGTGAACGTGGTGCCGGCACAGCCGCACCAGCAACTTGGACAGGTCACGCCGCTTTTGCCTCCACGTTTGCACGTCCTTGGTCCAGCAAAGATGTCCGCCTCTACCACCTCTTCTTCCGCCGTGTCCTCAGCCGCCACCCCCGTGCCAAGTCCCATTACCCGACCGGCATATCACATGTGCAGGGCGCAACGGTGTCACGCTGTGCTGCACCTGGTATGCCTTGGCGAACGTAGTCACACAGGGGAGGAACTTCTGAGTGTAATGAACAGAGAAATCGACAAATGGCTGTCTCCGCGCAAACTGAAAATCGGAACCATGTTGACCGACAACGGAAAGAACATGGTGTCTGCTCTGCGTCAAGGAAGGTTGTGCCATGCGCCATGCATGGCTCACGTGTTCAATTTGGTTGTCAAGCGGTTCCTAAAATCCACCATCCCACTGCAAGACATCCTTAAAATGTCACGTAAACTTTGCATGCATTTCAGCC